GAGGTCGAGGCGGCGCGCCTCGCCGGACAGCTTGGCCATCGCCACCAGCAGCGGCGGCGCCGCAGGGAGGTGAGTGACGCGGTAGTGCTCGACGGCGCGCAGCGCGTCGCCGAGGTCGAACCGAGCGGCCATCAGCACGGCGGTCTCCGCCATGCACACGGTCCGCAGTAGCGTCATGAACCCGAATACGTGGAACAGCGGCAGCGGGACCAGCGTCACCGTCGGCGGCGGCGGCGCCTCGCCGGCCGCCGCGGCGTCCCTCGCCGTCTTCTCCCAGTTGGCCTTGGTGTTGCAGACCAGCGCGACGAGGTTGCGGTGCGTGACGGCGACGGCCTTCACCCGCCCCGTCGTGCCGGACGAGTACAGCACCGCCGCCGTGTCCGACTGCTTCACGGCCACCGGCGGCGCGCGGTGGTCGGAGGAAGCGAGCCTCTTGTACTTGTCGGAGCCGATGACGATGCACCGCAGGTGCGAGGGCAGCTTGGCGGCGACCTCGGGCGCGGCGAACGCGACGACCGGTTTGGAGAGCGCGACCTGGTGCGCGTACTCGTCGGCGGTGGACGCCGGGTTCGCCGGCGAGACGACCGCGCCGATGGACATGAGCGCGAAGTCGAGCACGGGGACCTCGACCCGCGACGGCGACACTACAAGCGCGACGTCCCCCGGGCGCAGGCCGAGCGTTGACCAGAGGCCCCCGGCGAGGGAGCGGACGGCGGCGAGGAAGGAAGGGTAGGAGACGGCGACGCCGGTGGTGGCGTCGATGAACGCCGGGCGGTCGGGCAGCGGGGAGGGGAGGACGGAGAAGGCGTAGGCGGCTGCCGTGGTGGGGAGCGACTCCGGCGGGAGCGCCACGGGCTCGCGGAGGCTGTGGAAGGTCCGCGTGGCCGCGCAGAAGCCGCTGCGCGGGTCGATCCCGGCGGGCTTCTGCTGCTGCTCAGCCATGGGTAGTGTGAATGTGGAGGGTGGCGGAGGCGACAGGCCGGCCGGGATCTGTGCTGCGTCGTCCGAGAGTAGTGGTGCCTGGAGCTGGACGAAGGGAAGCGGAATCTCCCTCTTCCACGCGCGCACCTCCCCTGACTGAGGCGGGCCTAATACATGCTAATACTATTCTACGCCTTCAAACCATTTGCAAAAATTGTTTACATCACACCATCTTTGAGCGAATTTCTTATTGATATGACAATAAAGATGAGTCGCAGTGAAACAATCTTTAAGTGAATATCTCATTGAGATGATAATAATTCATCAAACAAATTTCTAAGCAGGTGCTGACGCATATCATATTTAATTTGTAAAATGTGAACTTCTGAAGTATATTACACATTGTGGAGATGAGCCTACTAGTTCTCAGAGACTGATTGGACATAAGACATATATAATAACTTATTCTGAATCCTGATTGCTTTCACGCCTACTAGCTCAATGCTTGCCGAAGAATTATTTGAAGAGTAATACTTGACTGAACTGGTTCCTAGCAGCATTTAGTACCTGCAAAAAAAATAAAGTGAGTTATGGTTCGACCCACAAAATGGAAACATACGTTTCTGTATGTAGAAAAATAGCAAGGTTTCTGCTTCCATTGAAGGAAATGACTGTTTCTATTCAAACAGAGGACATTAAATTTATGCATGCCACAACAAGAAAAGTTGAAGTGTGGAGATGTAAAAATGTCGATAACGACGGACAAACTACCAAAGTGACAAGCAATGGCACAGAAAACAGGACGTGATGATTTGTTTTACTAACCAAGTTGTTATCCTTGCCAAAAGCAACCAACAGCAGAGATATTGAGCAATGCTCAAGAAATTAACCAATGCCCAAAAGCCTTATGAAATCACCCACTTTAACACCAATAACAGAACAGACTAAAACACCCAAGCATGTCTTTGTTCAGCAACAACAGAATGTTCAAGAAAAGTGGTTTTCAATTGAACTACGCTAGAGGTTGAGCAGGAAATCATCATAACCAAATTAAACCGAGTGGAACCTTTATGATATAGTCAGTGCATGTTAAGATAAACATTCAGCTAGCAGGTGAAAAATAGAGCGTTACCGTAATGTGAATCAGAATTCATTTAAACTGAAATCAATGGCAAATCAGTAGGCGGAATTAAAGGAAAGAATCATACATTTGAAGTGTGGAAGCAGGGTTGAAAAGGATCCCTTCATCTCTGAACAGCAAGCCGAGACATGAAGAAATCTGACCAGTTCATCTCGTAGGGCACAGCCGGCACAAAGTTGAATGAGGATTCCCAGCCTGCTACCATGGCCGATGACCGTGATCGGAGATGAAGCACGCAAGCATTGTCAGGGTCCTGTTGATTAAGCACGAGCATAGTGTTGCTCTTCTCTCCAATACACACCGTGGACAGTGACGACTCTGTTCCGGATAATCCAAGCTCCGTGCCAAGCTGAATTGCTTGAGTGAGTTGCCAGACCTCAGTGCCATCTTGGCGGTTCCAAATGCGCAGCTGGTCGTTGTCCAGATAATAGAAGGAAAGCCTTCCGTCAACCATGCTTGGGCACAGCCAAGTATTGCCCCAATCTGTCGGGATGAGGCCGGGTAGCGCAAGAAAGCGGATCTCGGTTACACCAACACGCTCTGTGTCGATGCTTACATCAAGGATTTGCATGCGGTTGTTTCCATCGTGGCCAGTACCGATGACGAGCCAGTGTGCAGCCCCGCGAGTAATTGCTGCGACAGAGCTTCCGTAAGGCCCACCAGTCAAGGCTCTGGGAATGCAGCTCCAACTCCATGTCTGTGATGCAACGGAGTCGGAAGAGAACCTGACGAGGTACCCCTGCAAATCCGTGCTGCAGACGCCGGCGATGAGCACCTGGAAGAAGGTGGAGTAGCCATCCGCCGGTCGGTGCAGGCCGGCGGCATGGTCCACAGCGGTGAGGACGGCGTACCCCCCGACTCCGTCTTCGATCAAGCCGGCCCCGTCCAGCGGAGGGAGGAGGTCCCGCCTGCCGGTGAGAAGGTTGCAGACGCACAGGCGGAGGACACTTTTCTTCTCGCAGGGGCGGGTCGAGAGGCGCACGAGGAGGAGGCCGTCGCGCGCCACCAGCGGCCTGGCCTCGTCAAGGAGGATTCCGGCGCCGTCGCGGACGAAGGAGGTGAGCTTCCGGCGCCCGGTCCCGAGCGCCGCCGCCGCGGAGTCCGGCGCCGGGACGAAGACCAGCCCCTCCGCCGTCGGGACGATCCTGTTGAACTCGAACTCGTACTCCTCGTCCACGTCGGAGACCAGATCCTGGGGGTGGACGAAGAACCCGACGAGGGAGCACCGACCGCCCTCCGGCCAGCTGCGGCGGCGGAGGAAGGCGGGATCGGACACGAGGCGGCGCCACCACCTGCACACGACGGTGCAGCGGAAAAGCGACACCACGTCCGGCACGCGGGCCAGGATCTCGACGACGGCGTCCTCCGGTAGGTCCTGGAGGCTTCTCGCCGCCGCCGCGGCGGGAATCGCGCCCGAAATCATGGATCCCTGGCCTCAACCAGATCTCAACCGCAGCGAGGCCAATCTGCTATGGCAATGGAGGACACGGACGCAGTGCGGTCTACGGATGCGGAGAGGTAAAAGGCCAAAACGGACGCGGCTCGCCGGCAAAATGACGGGAGTGCGCGCATCGGGCCGGCCCACGTACGCGAAGAGCGCGCCTCAGAGGCGGAACGAACTGGTAAAGGTATGCCTTGAATTAGGCCCATGAAACATTGGACACAGATGTATTGAAAACGGGAAGCATACATGTTTAGCAACATAACCCATGATTTGTTGGTCGGTAATGTTTGAGCTCGGTTCAAGGAGTTCAGGTGGTGAAATATGGTATGATATGGCGGGTGGGATCTGGAGAGAATATTAATATTTGGCAGGACTCTTGGTTGCCAAGGGACTGGTCATGCAAGGTAATCACACGGAGAGGTAACAATATCTTAACTCGAGTTTCAGAGTTGATTGACCCGGTGACTGGTCAATGGGATGATGAACTGGTTGATGACATTTTTGAAGTCGAGGATGCGAGGGTAATTAAATTGATTCCACTGCATGGGCAATTCGATGATTTCCCGGCTTGGCAGAAGGATCCGAAAGGCATGTTCTCCGTAAGGTCTGCTTATAAGTGCTTACGAGAAAAGGAGCTGTTGAATAATGCAGGAGGGGGTCAGGGATCAAGTAGCCATCAGTCATCAGGCAACTATCAGCGAGGGGACAAGTTATGGCTTAATGTATGGAAGTTGCCAGTACCAAGCAAGGTTAGAATGTTTCTCTGGAGATTTGCTCATAATATTCTACCTATGAGAAGGAACCTGAGGAGAAGAAGGGTGCGTGTAGATGATACAAGGTGCATTATTTGTAATAGACTTGATGAGGATGGAGCCCACCTGTTTATGAAGTGTAAGTAGATTAAAGAATGCTGGCGTGCTTTGGGTCTGGAAGCAGTAAGAAGTATCATGGCTGCTTGTATGCTGCCAACAAATATATTAGAGGTGCTGTGGACATTACCTGAGAAGGACCAAGTGCTGATAGTAGTGATGTGGTGGCAATGATGGGATTACAGAAATAAAAAAAGGGAAGAGGGAACCTCATTAACATTTCAGATGTTCTTACATCGTTTGCAGTGTACAGTTGCAGAATATATGCAGCTGTTTATGCCGGAAAAGGAGAGACAAGATAAGGAAAGTGAAAAGTGGCAGCCGCCACAGCAAGGATGGCTTAAGGCAAATGTTGATGGTGCATTCAAGCAGAGGTACGTGAAGGAGGTTGGTGGATCGTGATCAGGGATGAGGATGGCCATCTAGTTGCCGCTAGAGCAGGCAAGGAAGCAAATGCTGTTGATGCGAGTTTTATGGAACTGACAGCGGTTAAAGAAGCACTATCCCACCCATACATAGCGGCACCGAAGCTCATGTGAGACAACCAACAGTCTGGGCCAGACCTTAGACCTGTGCTTTGGTTGTAGGACAGATGAGGGGATTTTTTTAACCTCAACCTGAAATTCGCTCCCACCGGGAATCGAACTCAGGACCTGAAGAGCGCTAATCAGACCACCTAACCAATTCAGCTAGAGGCCCTTTCGCCAAAAATATAAAAAGACATTTGTGAGATAAAATTCACCGAGGGTAATAAAATTACAGTTTTGAACCAGGTGCGCAGCTTTGTAGAACCTGATATCCCTTTGTACTTTATCAAGTCCTTTAATCGATCAACAATTAGAGAAAACCATCTTCATCATTCATCAAAGTAGCAAGGTCACCAGTTCTCAGCCAGCCCTCTGAATCCAATGTTGCTGCAGTGGCCTTGTCGTTGCCAACTAGGGTTGAAAGTAGTGTGGATAATTTCCGACTCCGATCCGACCCGAATCCGATTTTTGAGGATTTGGAAAAATCTTTTAGATATCCTAGTGGATGTGGATAATCCGAATCCTATTAAATGAGAATTTAAGATAGGATATGGGGTTAGCAAAATCCGACGGATATGTATTATCCGATAAATTAAGATGGATAACCGATGTCTAATATAGGATTATCTGATTTTCCTATCAAAGTTCACTCTATATATTAAATACTTGACATATCAACCTAAAGTATTTTTGTTTCTTGTCAACTAAAACATATATTTTGCAATGAAATGATGTAGAACTACTGCTAGTTACTCTTATCTTCTATATAGCACCTTGTATGGTGTTGTTTAGTGTATATATAAGGCTATATTTATAAACATATTAACCGTCTATTTATGTCCGCTTCCGATCTGCATCCACTCGACTCCACACTATTTCTGACGTCCGAAAAAATCCGTATCTATATCCACATCCGTGTACTACCCGCTCCACTCCGAATATGAAAAAAATATGGATTAGGACATGGGGAGAGCAACATCCTCTCCGCTCCGATTTGTTTTCATCCCTATCGGCAACATTACCTAAAAAGGCAAGCCGTGACTCATATAGTGAACTGAAAATGCTGTTGTAATATTGAAGCGAGATATATAAATACCAATTTTCCACATAATGGCTGTCCCGTAAACGCCTCGCCTTGAAATGATGCATTAATATGACGTTCGAACAAAGGTTATCTGAATATGGTTTTTGTTCTGAATACTTAAAAGACGTGCTAATATATAGTACCATCCCAGAGGCAAACATTGAGATCTGGTAAGGTCGGTTCAGTGATGTACCAACCAATAATTTAATTAGTTTCCAAGTCAATTAATAAAGAATGATGAAGCACATGGGAGGCAAAGCTTTCAGATGACAAATGCTACTATAGTCATCATCAGAATACCAGAGTAAATTAAACCGTATCATATATGTAGTAATATGTCTGCAAAATCAATTCAACTGTCCGGGAACTAGTTACTTGCCTTTCATGATGCTTGGTCCTCGGACCCAGAGCACTCCTCGCTGCCCCGGCCGGAGCGCCTCGCCAGAGGCCGGCTCGACGATCTTCACCTCAACGTGCGATGCCAGCTTCCCACTGAACAATACTCCTTGCACTCCTCCGGCCCAGCCGTCCAAGCCACCGCGCCAGACGATTCCGTCAAACCGTAGCCCTACAACGACGACATAATTTTGAGAAGGAATTTGCAGTTGGTTCACGAATATGCTGCACACACAGCGTATGTAAATACACTATGGTCACGTTGGGGAAGATGGCGGCAAAGCGCTCGGCAACCTCGCGGCCGAGCGACGCACCGCCGGTGCTGACGAAGAGAAGCGAGGAGAGGTCACGGCGGCGCGACAACGTGCAGCGCGGCGCTGAGGTCGAACCGAACCATCAGCACGTGATTATCTGGTAAGCTACATAATTATCTATCACGACACTTCACCAGTAAATATGTGAAAGTGTTGTATTTTACAAGTTTTAGTTTCACATGATGATTGTCTTCTTAAATTCTAGCTAATAGGTAAACAAGCTCTTAGAAAGGTTTAAGTTTACTGATGAAGGCCAATCAAGTTTTGCACGATGATAACTTGTGGATATAATACTGCATCCTAGAATAGGATAGAGAGAAGTTGAATCTCACTATTCTGCGCACATGTGTCCAGTGATTGCGAACTGCCTCGTGCTTCAGATCTACACACATGTAACCTCATGCATCAATCAGCTAACACAGTGTAACCCTATACCAACTTCTTGTACATAAAAAAATGTTGGCTGGAGCTATTTGAATAAACAATGAGGACATAAAAGGGAACTTAATTTTATGAGGCAATTGTGTGTTTACCCTTTAATTCTGATTTTACCCTTACTTTTTTGACTTTGTGATTTTACCCCTGGTTTTTCAATATGAAGCGAGATCTCACCCTCAATAGGGGTAAAATTAGAATAATTCTATTTCAATTTTACCCCTAGTAAGGGTCAACTCTAGCTTCAGGTTGAAAAAACAGGGGTAAAATCACAAAGTAAAAAAAGTGAGGGTAAAATTACAATTAGAGTTCAGAGTGAGGGTAAAAACATAATTGTCCCTAATTTTATTGTTGTGAAGGTATTGCTAACCGTATTAAATCATGAACATTGGGAGAATATTTACATTACAATGGTGACACCATCACCATAAATGTGCAAAAAACAGGATAGATAAGGAACAAAGATTTCGATAGATAGAATGAAATGGTTTAAACGGTTGGCTCATACCATGTAAACAATTAGGCCTTACCCTAGGACCAAAATTAACAGATCTAGTCGTCTCTCTATGACCACACTAGTAAATCAAATTAATATGGCCTGAATAAAAAGACACATCTATATCTCTTAAAAAATGTCCCATCGCCAAATGTTCATAAGAATCATGAAATAAGCCAGGAAAAGTTCGAAGATGCTGACCAATTTAGTTAGAGGAAGTGAAAGCAACAACTCACAATACTACAATCACACTTTAAAAAGGATATACAAAGCAGCTAATATGATATGGCATTGACTGGACTAAGAAAAGTGAACACTCAATTGCACCCTCAGCCATTTATCAACAAACGCATTACCTGGCATCATTTTGATTTTCATGACACGTACCACACTCGTCCAAAGAATTTGTTGGATATGGGTCCAAATCTAACTAATGCTCTTCAAATCCTGTGGCTGCCACTGACTGTACCGTACTCCAACATGTACATCAAAGAATGATGCTTGGACCTCTTTGAGTACACCATCAGGGCATAAAAGGGAACCCGATTTTATTGTTGTGACGGTATTACTAACTGTATTGAATCACGAATATTGAGAGAATCAATTTCCATTAGAATGGTAACACAATCACCATAAATGTGCAAAAAAGAGAATGGATATAGAACCAATATATCAATAGATAGAATAAAATGGTTTAAACGGTTGGATCATACCATGCAAAAAGTTGTTAAGAATTTTCACAACTTCCATCGAAAGCTTACCATCAACTAATAACTGTTTAGGCCCTACCTTAGGACCAAGATTAACAGATCTAGCCGTCTCTCTATGACCACACTAGTGAATCAAATTAATATGGCTTGAATAACAAGACATCTCTTGGAAAATTTCCCATCTCCAAATGTTCACATGGAACATGAAATAAGCCAGGATAAAGTCCGAAGTTGCAGACAAATTTAGTTAGAGAAAGTGAAAGTCCGCCTCAACAACTCACAATACTACAATCACACTTTAAAAAGGATATACTAGCCAGCTAATATGATGTGGCATTGACATGACTAAGAAAAGTAAACACTCAATTGCACCCTTAGCCATTTATCAACAAACGCATTACCTGGCATCATTTAGATTTTCATGACACGTACCACACTTGTCCAAAACGTTTTGTTGGGTATGTGTCCAAATCTACCTAATGCCACATCATTTATAGCTTATCTTGCCACGTAAATATTACACAAAAGCCAAACATGCATGTTGGCCTTTAAAAGAATCATCCCTATAAATGCCACACTAACCCATCTCTCGTCCATCAGTCCTATCTCACTCATACACATCAATAGCACCATCTTGTTATTTGCGACCCACTAAGAAAAAGTCATGGCTTCTCACACAACCAAGATATTTGTTGTAGTTGCTTTCCTTGCACTTTCTGCAATTGCTGCAAATGCAACAACTTGCCCACAGTTCTTCCCGTCAATGATGGGAATGGGTATGGTGAGCCCATGCATGCAATCTTGCATGATGCAACAATCATTCACCATTGGAGGCCCACTCTCACTGATGATGGGAACAATCCCCATGGACTCATGCATGCAACCTTGCATGATGCAACAACCTTTTACTATGGGTATCTCACCCTTATCGGCAATGATGATGCCACAACAGTGTTGCATGCACTTGATGATGATGGGAATGATGTCACCGCAATGCCACTGCGGTGCCATGTGCCAGGTGATGATGATGCAACAAGGCATGAGGATGCCTATGATGACGCCACACATGTGCAACATGCTGCCAACTTACTGCCAGCAGTTCTTTCCTGGTTGTGCCTTCTAGTAGATAGTTACCATCTTTTGATGTAGCCCTTTGAATAAAGGTCGCACACCATCGTGTGTGATTCACCATGAATAAAGTATCCAAGAAGATGTCTTTCTTGCGGATATAATTTATACCAAGTTAAATAATCATCCAGGCCTTGATACATCACTTTATCGAACTAAATTATAAATCTATCTAGTCATCAACCGGATTATCCATTACGACACTTCATCAATAATATGTGAAAATTATTATATGTTACAAGATTTAGTTTCACATGATGATTGCCTTGTTAATTTCTATCTAATAGGTAAACAAGCTCTTAGAAAGTTTGATGATTTTAGGTCTATCGATAAAGGCCAACAATCAGGTTTTGCACGATGATGACTTGTGCAAATAATATTGCGTCCTAGAATAGGATGGAAGGAGGTTGAATCTCCTCTTCCACGCGCACATGGTGTGAGCTCCCCCGTGCTTCAAATCTACACACATGTAACCTCATGCATCATTCAGAACTTTGTTTGGCATCTGTGAGAGCTAACACGCTGTAATCAGGGCGGGCCCAACTTGACTCATGGATATTCAGTTAAATACCCATTATTTTGGACAAAAGTTTTTGTATATATAGTGTA